CCTGCCACCAGTACCTGACGGGGGGCCGCGCGGTGGACGACCCCTTCGACCGCAGCCAGAAACCGCTCAAAATCGGCTCTGCTGCGGTTGGGGGAGAAGTAGGTCGACACTACCACTACTTCTCCCCATCGGGCCGCCACATACCCCTCGCCTCTTTCCACGAAAACGAGGGAGGAGCCCGCGCCAGTAACCACGACGGCCGCGGAGCCATCCGCCGCCCCCATCCACTTGTCGGACGAGGGGATGCGGTACGGCTCCGAGACGAGCACCACGTCCACCCTCCATTCCGCCGCCACCTGACACAGGATGTCCTGTGCCCCGGCGGAGTGGTTCGCATTTATCTGTAGTATTTTCCCCGATGTCCTATAGGGCATTATTAACGGACATCGGGGTCACTACAGAAGCCGAAACCGACTGTGCGCTGCTGGACCCTGCACGAGGTGCGGCCTGCGACGCGTCCCTGGGGGGTACCCCTACATGAGGAGGGCGGCCCCTGACCAGCGGTGGGTTACATTTGGCCCCCGCCATCCGGTGCCCGGCTGCCAGTCCTCCATCCGCGCACACGTCGCAGTGCGGTGGGGCGGAGCAGCCCTTGGCTTTATGCCCCTCCTTGCCACAGCGGTAGCACAACCCGCTGCGGTCCTTTTTGGAGGGGCATTTGGCCCCTGGATGCCCGGGCGCCAGGCACCTATGGCACCTCATTGGGCGCCGTTCCAGGAGCCGGACTGTTGCCTCAAACCAACCGACCTGTAGCCGCCCTTCCTTCACAAACTTGGCGACCGCCTCCACCGGACATGAGACGATCGCCGAGCCCGCCCCTCTTTGACCGGGGGAAACTGCCCCGACCCTTATGGTCTCAGGGGGGCAGCCGTACTTAGTTGCCAGGACCGCCCTCAGCTCCTCGGGTGTTGTGGCATCATCCAGCCCCGACACCCGGACGTCCACCGTCTTAGTAGGCCTAGAGACCTTAGCTGTCTCGCCTAGGGCCTCTCCCACTTTGGCCGCCAGTGTGTCAGCCTGGGCCGCCGTGGTCCCGGACGGGAGCTCGATGATACGAGCTCCTGTGATTGACGTCCGGAACTTCCCTGGGCCAATGCCCAGCTCCCCCCAGTTGACGGACTGCCTGGCCTTGGCCAGAGCATCCTTATAGGTGGCCCCCTCGGCCACTGCCTCCGGTTTGAGGGCCACGACCACCGCCAGCGTTTTCGGTGGCTTCGGGACTTTATCGGCCTTTTTCTTCTTGGCCTTTTTCTTCTTAGGCCTTTGGGCCGCAGTGGTGGGCACTTGGGCTGGTGCCAAAGCCTTATTCGGCTTCCCTCCCTTTCCCACTGCTATCCACACTCCCTCAGCCACCTGTGGCACACTCCCGCTGGGCGTCGGGTCAGCCGCCGGCCTCTCCTTCCTCACAGGAGGAGGAGTGGGAGTGGGAACCGCTGGAGTTGCAGGGCCCGCCTTCTTCTTACCCTTGCCCTTGCCTTTGCCTTTGCCCTTGGCCTTCTCGGGCATGTTGGCAGGCGGAGCAAGGGTGGAAGGGGCATTCGTACCACCCCCAACCGGCCACGCAATCGTCGGCGGTTTCTGCGCTGCGGCCTTTGCGTCTGCAGCCAGGGGCGGGCGGCGCGGTCTCTCGGAGGTGGGCAGCAGCCGGCCATCGACCTCCAGGCCCTCCAACCTGGCCTGGAGCATATTGCTGAATTGCTGCACCAGGGAGCTGTGCTCCCTCCTCAATTCCTCCATCTCCCTCCTTACTAGGGAGACATCCTCCCCTCCGGAGCCCCGAGGGGTATCCACAACAATTGGCGCCGCTGTCTCCTTGCGGCGCCCTACCCTCGACTCTTCGAAGGCTCTTCTGAAAGCGGCGAGCTCAGCGGTGACTTTGCTGAGCTCTTCTTGCAGGCGCTTGTTATCTGCCTGCAACCGCTTTACCTCCTCCGATGTTTGCCTATTGGCCAAGGCCTCGACAACCGCCAGCAGGGAACCCGCGCCAGTTTTTATTGCCTTTTGGCACGTTCCCTTAAGGTTGCGCGACTTCTTCGCCACAACCTTCACCACCTCACAGTGCTTCTGTGCCACCTTCACCAGGGCATCCGTGGTCATTCTGCCCGGTTCAAATTTGGCCTCGTCTCCGCTGTCAGTCTCGGCATCCGTGTACTCAATATCGGAGTTCGAGTCACATCCCGCCTCCTTCAGATCCTTACGGGCCTGCGACAACTCCGCTCCATGCGACAGCCCACTACCACCGCCTCTTCCCCCTCTACTGCCCTTTTTCCCCTTAAAAACTTTCGGGTGCAGTTCCTTCGGCAGAGGGTCTTTTAGGAACTCTGCAATCCTCCTCTTATGGCCCGCGACCGTACCTCTCTCCGTCGCATCCGTCGTCTCAAGGTCCATTTCCGAGCTCGCTCTCGAGCACGTGCCCGAGCCAGCCAGCGACCCTGATACCGTCACCGGTACCTGTTTCGAGGTTAGACCAGATCTACTCCTGGTCACCATTCCGCTCATCTGGCTCGGATAAAGCTCCGACCTCTCCCATGTCTCCGGCCTATTCAGGCCCTCCAAACTCGTAGCAAATTTAACACTGGCCATCCGAGCTAATGGCGAGCGCCCGTGGTCAGCGGGGTCGTATGACCGAGTGTCAACTGACACGAAGCAGTCTTGGCCCCTCCCAGATACGTGGGGCCTGCCGCCGACCGAAGTCGACGGGAGGGATTCTCCGTCCTTGACGGTACCCTCCTGGGTTAGTGATTTTTTAAGCGCTGCTGACATGTTTGTTGATTTCGTTTTTTAGCGGGTGACGACTCCCGTATATCTCCCACGCACCGAGTGCTAGGGACCAGACTCCCTCTGGCCACTCAACCCATCACCGCACTTCAAGCTTGGGTTTGGGGCTTTTTTATTGAGGTGTGCTCCTCTCAGACTGGACCTCCGTGGCCCAGCCCCCTGGCCCTCTCAGTGAGGGGAACAGGTTTCCCGACGGGGTCCTGTCACACAGGATCCCCGCCGCGAGACAGCTGAGAAGCTGAAACGCCTCCTACAGTCCCGCCTACTCAGGGCGAGTTCGCGGCCACAGGCCGCCATCCACCGACCAAAAGGTCCGCTGGCCCCCCAAGGAGGGCCCGTCACCAACGGCGCAACCGCCACGGGCAAAACGCCCCCTCCACGATTTTTATTGAGGTTGTCTCCTCTCGACCCGGGCAAAAGCCCCGCCGGTCCCCGGTCCTTCAGTGAGGTAACGGGTGGCCCGACGTGCCCCCGGAGTCCGGGCGGCACGCCGCGCAGCCGCATCCCGCAAACACTCCGCGACCGCAGAGCGAGTCGAGAGCAGCCTCGCAGTAGCTGTCCGCGCCGGCCGAAGCCGGTACCCCCCATATCTGGGGGGCGTTCCCCTATCCACAACCCGGGGACGCGTCCGGTAGCGATACTGCGGAGATCGCTTCCCTCTCCACAGAGAGGGCGGAAACGGGAAATATATATTCCAACCTTAGGTACGAGTACGTTCCGTTCGGTATCACTGGATAGGGTTTCCGCGGTCGTCACGTAATTTTGATAGCTATACACCGTGAATATTGAGTTACCTGAAAAAAATTACAAGCGAATTCCGACAACAAGTCATATTTCCACAAAAAAATGTTTCATTAATTACTCTTTACAAAAAGTAGTAAAGTTTAGTTCGGAATACGTATGTTCAAGTCAAGTAAGTACTAACTTACCTTTTATTCCTTAGGCCTCGTCGAGGTCATATCAAACTCATATTTTTTTATTAAATGTGAAACATAACTTCGCCTCAAAAATTTTCGACTTTCTACCGGATGTGGCAATACAGCCTGGCTCTACCAAGGTGAAAGGTATTCATTAAAAGAAACTACATATCTTCTGTGATTTTTTTTATTCAATTCCAAATGAAGGAATAAGAACTTATTTCTTTATTTTTTGTGCGATATAAAATAAATAATAACAATAGTTAAAAACCCGACTGCCATAAATGAAATATTTTCAGCTAATTAATTATAATAAAACATAATCAAGATGAATGCAAGACTTCTTAAACAATGTTTCGTTCCTCCAAACATCAATCATACGAATACACGTAGGTATATTATGGTCGGACCCAAGTTATATATTCGGATCAAGTTACAGATAACTTAGTTACGACGCATCAAACTCTGCTTGATCTCTGGAGTAGAAAGAATAATAATAAAATGTATCGAATCTTAAGTATTTATTGACTTGTAACATTTATTATCAATGTCATTATACAGTGTTCTAAGGGCCGATTTCTCGAAAACTGAAAAAAAAATCATATGTCTGATATCGTATTATACGGAAAAAATAAAGAGTTGACTTGTGTGTGACGGATGACATCTGTCTCCATTTGATTGAGTATTTGAGTATTAATTTATTGTAACAGTTAAGTTTTATCCAAGTTTTGAAAAATCGGCCCTAAGGTACACAAAGTGACAATTGACAGCCCCCAAATATCAGGTAAATTTAACTTACGAGTATTAAGAAAATCTTACTAGAATAACAGTTCGCTCGGTCTAGGCATTAGACAAGATTCGAACCCGTACCTTCCGCTGTGCGAGCGGACGTACTAAACAATTATGCTACCGAGACCTTAATGGCCGTGTAAAATTTCTTCCATTTTTTCTAAGGCTGTATGGAGTCAAACGAATCAGCTTTTTCCATTTATGTGAAGCTTCAGCTTTGACGTATTACCTTCAGCGCATGTTACGGTAAAGTCAATGTAAGAAATAGAATGACTTTATTTATTTAACACTAGTGGCCCGCCCTCGCTTCGCTTTGGTTTAGAGCTGTAGTGTAGACTATAGTTTTTGTTCAAAGGCAATGAAGTTCAAAATGACTCTTCATTTTATTTAGAAAACGAAAAGGGCTGTTTTTAGGGTTTTCCTGGCAATTATTCGAAATTTTCTCACTTTTTAAACCTTCCCTAGACCTCCGGGAACATTTTAAGACCAAGATAAGATAAAACCGATCAGCCCTTCCGCTAGCCGATTGTAACAAAAGTTGCTTGAGCTGAATTTAAACAATAGAAGACTTTACAGACTAACCACAGACTTTACAGGCTAACCACAGACTTTACAGGCTATCCACTGTCACGTTTCCCGAAGAGTCCATCTTTAATATAGTCTGCTCCACTTAACACCTTGCCACTTGTTGAATAAAGTGTATTTTGCAGCATTCATAAAGTTAATTTTTTTCCCTTCAGTGTTTTATTGAAAAATGAGCATTATTGCTTCTCGACGACGGCATCTGCTTTCGAGTGTTCTCTTATCTCGTCCTTTTTCTGTTCAAAATACAGCCACCTGCAAAGATTTCGCTAGTTTACAACGATTGAGCCAGTTTATTTATTTAATTAATTAGGTACGGACGGCTAAGAGATTGCTATCTTAGCAACAAGACCGTCTTTCGTGTTTGTCTTTTATGTGTAATATTGTTTTCATAGTGCTATAAAGTATTTTAATTAATTTAACAAAGACAAAAGTGTTCATTTTTAACAAAAGTTCATGTAAATTAAAATAACGGTAATAATACATCTATCCATACTAATATTATGAATGCGAAAGTCTGTCTGTCTGTCTTTTACCTCTTCACGTTTAAACTGCTGATCCGATTTAGATGAAATTTGGTAAAGATATAGTTTGTGTCCCAGGAAGTACAAACGATATTCTTTATCCCAGAAATTCTCCTTTAATGGGGTGAAAAGGTGGTGTGAAAGTTTGCATGGGAAACGAATTTCACCACACAGATGAAGTTTCGGGCTCCAACTAGTTACATAAAACAAAGTGCCCTATCGCGTTTATGTATGTTTCACAATTATCACAAACATAATGAAATGGAATTTTCGGTTTGCATGCTTTTTGCTACCCTTATTAAATACATCTCATTTCATGCTTGTTATATTAGGTCATTGGGTGCAAAGTGAAGCGAAATTACGCTCGTTTCCCCTATGATGTCTAACAAATAGAATCAACTGAAGCTGGTGTTATATATGTGAACAGAAAAAATTTGAAAGATTCTAAACAAACTAAGGATTGCTTTTTTCAATCCAAAGCTTATTTCTCTTGTGTAATAGGTACATTATACGGACATAATAAAAAAATATGTTAATTATTTTGTCATGCATTAAGAGAGGTTAGCCTATTTGCCGCTCAAGTCGCAGTGCCCGTCCGAGGAAGTAACGTCCACATTAGAGAAGATCACAGTAAAATAAAACTCCAACTCCATCGACAGAACCAACACCACCAAAAGGTTGGTGGTGGTGTTTCTGTCGATGAGTAAGAGCTCCACGGGGTAGGGGATTGGATTGGAACATAGCGATGGATGGTAAAATTAAGATTGCCCCCAACAAGAACACGGCTCCCGGAAGAATGTGCAGTGTGGCAGTTTACATCTGCGAGTAGGGGGCCCGTACACCAGTGGCATTACAGCCTCTCCACCTTAAAACACGTGATGCAAGGAGTTTACCCAAATATCCCGATAGCTGGTAGAGTGAGTAGTGCCCCCAACAGGAACACGGCCCCAGGAAGAAGGTCCAGGGTGGCAGTGTACACCAGCGAGAAGAGGGGCCATACACCAGCGGCATCGTATAGTCTATTCATCTTAAAACACGTGATGCAAGGAGCTTACCCAAATATCGCGATGGCTGATAGACTAGTGCCCCCAACAGGAACACGGCACCAGGCAGGAGGTCCAGGGTGGCACTGTACACATGTGAATAGAGGGACCCGTACACCAGCGGCATCGCGGCCTATCCACCTGAAACTCTTGATGTAAGGCGCTAACCCAAATATCGCGATTCATGGTAGAATTAAGATTGCCCCCAACAAGAACACGGCTCCCGGAAGAAGGTGCAGTGTGGCAGTTTACATCTGCGAGTAGAGGGGCCCGTACACCAGTGGCATTACAGCCTCTCCACCTTAAAACACGTGATGCAAGGAGTTTACCCAAATATCCCGATAGCTGGTAGAGTAAGTAGTGCCCCCAACAGGAACACAGCCCCAGGAAGAAGGTCCAGTGTGGCAGTGTACACCTGCGAGTAGAGAGGCCCGTATACCAACGGCATCATAGCCTCCGCCAATCCGAACAGAGAGTTCACTTTTCCTAGAAATAGATGACAGTCGTGTAGTGAAAACTTGTTGATTTTTCGTTCTGTGTCACTAAAAAAGAGAAAGCAATGCTGACGGCTGGCCATAGCAATTTATTTTTGTTTTTATATTCGTGTGTATTTTATTAGATAAAAACCGTAAGGGAATCTAAGTTACTTCTGAGTTCACCACAAAAACAAAATGACTTCCAAACAACTTACACTAATTTATTTAATACCAAACTAAGGGAAAAAATGTTTTACAGATATTAAATAACGGATATAATGTGTACATTTATAACTGTAACTCATTAAGTGTCTCTACAAGGATAAAAGCCTAGTCAAAGCACAGAAATGCATATTTTGATATTTCAAACTAACTTTTATTGATTCGTCATCGATTCGTTTTAATCTTTAACCACAACTTTGATTCGGCTATCGTGAGCTCCTCCGTGCTTCGGAAGGCACGTTAAGCCGTTGGTCCCGGCTGCATTTGCAGTCGTTAGCACCCGCCAATCCGCACTGGGCCCGCGTGGTGGGTCATGGCCGAATCTCCCTATTTCATCCATAGGGAAGGCCTGTGCCCCAGCAGTGGGGATATTAATAGGCTGATGACAATGATGAACAGCTATTACTATATACTCACCGAACTCTTCCCCGCTAACAAGTTTAGACGCTATAGAACGCATAGCAATGAAAGATGTTCCGTTGAGTATCTCGAGCAAAGGCGCTGGAATCAAGAAAAAACGTGATAATAGTATTAAACCACAGTATCATAACATACAATACAACTTTATCATATTTTAAAATTACATATTACCTATATTTTTTTAATAACAGTGATTATAACATTATCAATACGACGCGTATATATTTTTTCACGCATACCTTTTTACAGAGTAGTCTGATTTTGATCATTTTTTATTGAAAAGGGCGGCTTTTTTTATTAATAAAAAAAATATTAAAAAAAATCGGCGGTTTTTTATTTTTTTTCCAAAAAGTTTTTGCTTCTAGTTCGGTATAGTATTCATTGTAGAATTGAAGCTTATTACTAAAGTATTGAATTTTCAATAAATAGGTAGACCTCTTCCTGCAATTATCATTTTGCTTTCAGTCACTAGGTAAAAAGGTTTATAAAAGTTTAAATAGGTAATTTATATTTTTGTAAAAACTATTGTGAAATTGTTTTGAGAGTGCAATATCTTACAGCGAAATTAAATCTATCTGTAGAATTTAGAATTATATCATGACGTATCTATCTTATTATCATGCAATAAAAATTTGTTTGTTAAAAAAAATATAAGTTTAATATTTGTTTTATTTAAAGCCACAATAAAAGAACTACACAGATTTAATTCTTTTGCAAACGTTACTTTTCAATTTGTCTTACTTTTCAATTTGTCTTACTTTTCAATTTGTCCATGAAAAACGAATATTCAAATATTGCACAACAGCACAACACTCTTAAAGTCTCGATACTTAGGTAGGTGCCGTAAAGTTGTCGTTCTTAAAACTTACCCAAATATATTTCGAGATCGTTTCTCGCGAAGGCGTATGCGAAAGAGGCGATAACTTTGCTCGTACACGAAATAATTCCCAACAAAGTGTCGTCCAGTTTCATGTAGCTGCTGAACAGGGACATCGAGAGCGCAGTGCCTGCGTATAATAAATACAAAACATATCAAATATACACCGTGAGTTCTGAGTTACACATCTGAAAAATTTAAAAATCAAATAAATAAAAATAGTGAGAATACGTACTACACCCCCATCCAAAAATGTAGATTTTATATCATTCACAAAATATCCTAAAACTGGGCAAATTTGTAATTAAGATACCTATTATGGAATTATTAAACTTTTTTTTAAACACACCAATTAGCCTAGCTCTAAAGTACGTACTGAAAGGCTTGTATTATTGGATACTGGGGTAATGGATAGAATACATATTATACTGATACATATATTTTACCTAGAAATACATATAAATATCAATGACTTAGGTACAAATGCTCGTATTCATCATAGTAACATTTGCCCCACCGGGATTCGGGACCTCACGAGTAGCGATACCTTGAAACCCGGCGTACATACCACCCGGCCGAGGAGGTCGTCAATATGTAAAGATACATACGAAATAAAGTACGTCAATCCTAAACATAGTGTTATTTGCATGAATTTATGACAATTAAATTATACATTTATTGCTAGTATGGCATAATATTAAAAGTACAACTGTACAAAGCAAATACATATACATCGATCAACATAAATATACCTCAACAACAATATCTCTAGGCGTTATATTTGAATGGTTGGATGCAAGCTGTTATCCATGTTGTAACAGTTTCAAGAATACATTTGTGTACAAAAAACTTAAAAAAGGAGGTTAAGAATAGATACGTAGCGTGTTCAGATAAGTATATGATATATTGTGCCTAATTGCTCAATACACATCGTATCATTGCTAGCTGGTTTTAATTTGGTTTCTTTTAAAATAAATAAGAAAAATTGAAGTTGCTCTAAAGATTATTAATTTTTTCTATCTTGAATGCAACTCAACGCTCAGAACTCACCTATGAAATTGGTGACTATGCAATAAGTTGACCAAATACTGAACTGCACCTCATCCCAATTGAATCTAAATCTCGTGAACAAATACGTTATGGTGATCTCCCCTGTAAACACACAAAGGTAAATTGAAAGTTAAATTACCACAAACAGATGTAAATCTATCTATTACCGCAGCGTAATACTTTTTTCTTAGCACCTAGAATTTAGAATTTCTAAAAAGTGCAAAGTGAGATGGCAGATTTTCGCACGAATTGGAGCGCCCGTCTGGGGAAGTAACCTCTCTCTTGAAGAAGACCACAGTAAAATAACACTAACCTTTGGTGGTGTTGTGTTTCTGTAGGTGAGTAAGGTTCCAGGGCTCCACGAGGAAGGGGATTGGGTCAGAGTAGGCCGTTGCCTACTCTGACCCAATCCCCTTCCTCCGCCCTCCGCCTTCCTTGCAATATATATTGCAAGCACCCGCAATATTGCGGTCTATAGGCTATGGTGCCGCTTACCATCAGAAGGACACACAAGCGTATGTGTTTCAGGGGGGCAAACAAGCGTATATGTTTGCCACCCTTTTAACATAACATTTTATTTTCTAATCAAGTCAACAACGTACTAATCGGAATTTGATGTTAGTACGACTTTAAATTCAAGCCACGCAACCATTGCCCTGAGTGCCTATATATGAATCAGCTTGTTACTCCTTTGAAACAATAAAAATTGAGTTCATTAAAAATCTCAATAAGTAACTAAATTTGTAGATGAAAACTTACGGTATTAAATATTTTTCTTTTGTTTCTTACACTTTAGATAAAATGTGTATTTTTCAAATAAAGACATGGTTTTCTGTATTTAATACTAAGTTTTGACAGTTCTACACAATGCAGATCTACCACCAAACTTGCGTCGTGTATGCATAGGCATGATATCTATAAATGTTCCACTATGATTCTCGTAAGCGGCTCATTCGTAAATAGCTTGAAATTCGTAATGTTGTCAATTTCATAATGTCCTTTCGTCAAAAAAAAGGAATAAAGAAAAGAAACCAATGAAAGATTTTTAAAAGGAAGCTACCAGTTAAGAATAAGTGCAGAACGCTCTTACCCTAAAAACTAAAAATATACTAGATGTCAACAAATTTCAGACAAAAAAAACTATTATGTACACTATTTGCTTTCAGTTTTATGTAAAATAATAACCACATGTTTTTTTTCATTACATGATTAAATTCAGATATCAACTTACCATGTAATGGTCCAAAGACGACGCAAACCACTATGAGTAATAATGATACTCTAAGTCTTCTGTTACCAACTCCTTTCTGGAATGCTATCCTGAAGGTGTCTAGTACGAGGGCAACATCAAAAAATTCCTTTATAAAATTTAATATCGCGCTGCGCTCCTAAAATTTATCGCCAAAAATAAAATTTTCAATCGCACATAAGTCTTAAATGCTCAATTCATAATAGTGTACATAATAATATGACTTACCTTTTTCTCACGGATCTTTCTTTTTGGGTCATCCAAGCAAATGTATCCATAAATCAAACAGAATAGATATAATGAACCAGAAATAAGAAACACTCCATAATATCCGATCCAGCGGAGCAAAATTCCGCTCAACGCACTTCCGATAGGATAACCTAACGTCATACACAAATTTACAATGCCCACTCTATGCGTACGATCTTCTTTAGTCGTAATATCGCTAATGTAACTGAACACTCCTATAAAATTCGTGAACCATCCACCAGTTATTGCAGGAAATATGGATTCAGTTAAAGCCGCAACTTCTACTGGCAACTCATAGAAGTAATATGTGTTTACAATAAAACCAATACATGTCAAAAATTCACCTACTATAGGCATTAGGATACATGCTTTTCTTCTACCAGTTTTGTCACTCCATGCACCCACAAAAAGTATAAGTAAAACTGGTATTGCTGTTTGTATCATGTTCTTCCAAGCCTGAACACCGGCAATTAGTGTTTGAACATCTTTTTCGTAGTTTGTGTAGTTTTCTGTTTCTCTCAACTTCAGAGCCTCGCAAATTTCTTCGGAGAAATTAAGATTTACCAAGCACGCTTTCTCTAAATTTAAATTTTGAACAGCCAACGAAGATAGAACACTAGGCATAACGTAGCATGCCATTATCGGTTCAACAGTTGTATTAGCCTTTATATTTCTTAACCTATCCATTAATGATAATTTCTTTTTAACTTTCTCAATCCCTTTTTCTTCATCGTCATTTTGAAGTGGTGAACATTCATCCTCTTCATCCTCTTTTTCTGCTGCTATATCTGTTTCGGCTTTTAAGCCGTTCAATTCAACTTCCTTTGTTAAGTCCATTATTTATAAATATATAACTAACTCTGATTCAAATCATTTAACGAGTCTAATAAGACAATAAGGCATTCTAATGGAATATTTCTATTATGACTTCATAGACTGTACTATTTAGAAGCTGCGCCACTTATAAAACGTATATTGAAGTAAGATTTATGTGTTAATGATACAGTATTTGCACTTCGATAATCATCATACGACACTTCATCAGGTTAAATATTTATGAAGATATCGCTACCAATGATAAGAGTCTGTAATTAGCAGAATCTTGCACATCTTATTGACAGAATGATTAAATTAGCTTGTTATTATTGTTTATATTGTTCTAACTATGTGGTAGAACTATTACTAAAAGTATTAGCAGTAAGTTAAATAACATTTCAACAATGAGCTTCAGACTGTGCATTAATCAAAGTGATAAGCAGTTTTCTTTTTCTTAACTTCCGTTAATTAGGTGACTAAATCTCATACAATCTTTTAAAGTTTGTTTTATTTAAATCTCTTTAATCTCACATGACATATCAGAAGTGGCACTTTTATAACTGATTAAGTAAAAGGTCTCTTTTTAAAGCTGGGGTGTGTGATAACTTTTTTCATACATTGAAGTTTAATCTTATTTACTTTGTGTTCTTCTTGGAGTGGCTATTTACATTAAAGCGCCTACTGACATGCCTGCCGCAGGGACAATCTAGGGTGCAATATCGGCTTGTCGCTACACACATGCCTACTATTCAGTGTTCGGGGGTGTGTTGAGCTAAACACACGCGTTGATGATGGTCCCAGTGTTATCAAAAAATCAGAAGATCGGTAGGCAGGGCCTTGGCTTTTTCTATGGTGTTACCGCAAAAAAGGAAATACTGGGTGAAGAATTGGCAACAGAAAGAAATGTATTGTAAATAAGTAATGTTCAAATTACTAAAAAAATATCCACGCGGACCTGGCAGCAGACAGGACTCGAACCCGCACCCCTCGCTATCATTGGTCCTTCTCGGTTGCAAGACAGAAAATTAGACGGTCGATGTACGAAAATTTTCACAAAGCTCTTCAGCGCGGTCTTCAGCAGCGAGATTTCTACAGGAGCTTATCAAGCTTAAGAAAATTTTGCAATTTAGAAGACGGTACGCAGGTTGAACTTTGGACCCGTCGAAGTTTCGAGGCGAAAAGACTACGTTTCCCGAAGAACAAGGAGACGGTTTGGGTATTTGTGAGTCCGTTCCAATTATTCATTATTTACATTCCTTATTATTCCTTTGATATTGCTATTAAATTTCAAATAGTCCAATTTAGTGAGTGCATCATATTTCTTCTTTCGTTTCTTACATTTATAAAATAATAATAAATATTCGATTCAATATACACTATAACGTAGCCAATAAACATTTCAAATCATATAAGTATAAAAACTATAGACGCGCAGCGCCAGCGCATCGGCCGGCAGCCGCACAACTGTTCTTTTGTTCCTTATGGCTCGGCGCCCTGCGCATTCTTTTGTCTCGATTCTTACTATTTTTTTCTATTGATTTTAACAGTAGTATTTGTTTTTGCACATTTTATCTTTAGATTTTCTTATATTAAACATCAGTTAGTATGGCCGATACAAAGGAACGAGAAAAAGCGTAGCAGCCTAAAATCAAAATTAACCATTTTTAAAAATTACATTGCTTTGCTTATACGAATTTTTGACCTAAGCCGAGATCAATATTTAGATCTGGAAAACCGCTTTAACAAGTTTGAAGCAATCTACCCTCCTTTTGACGATTTACAGATGGAGATTGAGATGCTTTCGGAGAATCCTGCCGATGAACTCCAAGAACGTGAACAATTCGAAGAGCAATTCCACACGCTGGTTGCGGCGGCTCGCGGTCTACTCAGCCCACGTCACAACCAGCGCGACCTTCCGGGTAGTTCCGTCTCGAGTTATCAGGATGTACAGGCGAGTGCACCTAAATTCAGTTGTGTTCGTTTGCCTAAAATTGACTTGCCCGTTTTCCACGGTCACTATCAGCATTGGCTTAGGTTTAGAGACACTTTTGATTCGTTAATCCATTCAAGACAGGATATGGATGACATAAATAAGTTGCATTAGCTTCACGCGTCTCTTAAAGGCAGCGCTCTGATCTAGTCATTGATAATTTAGATTTTATGGCCGATAATTACGAAGCTGCTTGGAAATTGTTATGCAGCAGATACGATAATAAAAGACTACTTGTTAACAATCACGTTCAAGCTTTATTTAATGTTGAACGAATGCAAACAGAATCGTTTATATTGATACGTAATCTTATAGATGTTACCAATAAAAACTTACGGGCATTAGCTTCTTTAGATCAACCTACTGAATATTGGGACACATTAGTTATACATATGATGTCGGAAAAATTAGATTGTGTTACACAAAGGGTCTGGAAAGAACACTGAAATACTTTAACGGATCCTCCTTCATTAAATATATTTAGTAAATTTCTAAGTAACAGAGCAGACTTATTGGAGACTATACTAGAAAAAGGCGAAACACAAAGAGATATTTACAAACAAAATTCAAGTTTTCTTATAGATACACCAAATAATAATAAAAATAGCACTTACAATAATAATTATAAACAAAATTTTTACAATAATAAAAATTCACGATCTAAACGTAATACTTACAATTCCAAGTCTTTCAAATGTATACTTTGCCAAGAAAATCATTATTTATTTAATTGCGTAAAATTCAGGTCACTTTCTATTGAAGATAGAATTCAAAAAGCCAAAGAAACAAAAGTATGCCTTAATTGTCTTCGACCTGGACATATTGAAACTAAATGTAGTCTTGTCCCTTGGAGGTACTGTAAAGAGAGACATAATACACTCTTGCATATTCATGAACCAGAACCTACTTCTGTGCCTCCAATGCCAGTCAATAGCATCAACCACTTCTCAAATCATTCCAATATTTCTAGACAGTTTACTACTCCTTCGAATGTGTTACTGTCCACAGCCGTCGTGAGGGTGCTCGACGGTCAGGGTGCCGCGCACTCCGCGCGCCTTCTGCTCGACAATGCTGCACCGCGAACATAGTGACGCAATCCTTGTGCGGTAAGCTGGTTGTGTCGCGTCGCGATGCGTACTCCACGGTGACAGTTATTAATCAACATACTTCTCAATGTACACAGTCTTGCAGTCTTACCATAATGTCTATTCATGATGACTTTAAACTAACTGTAGATTGTCTTATACTGCCTGAGATTACAAAATGTCTACCGTCTACCTTTATCAACATAGAAAATATTCCTCTTCCTAAAGGAATACATCTTGCTGATCTCAACTGATATATACCTTCAGATATAGACTTATTAGTAGGGGCAGAAGTTCTTTGGTAAATTTTAGGCCGTAATCATATTAACTTGGGTAAAAATCAACCCAAGTTATATGAAACGAAACTGGGTTGGTTAGTGTCTGGCCATGTTGGTCGCCTTAAGCACTCTTCTTATTCTTCTGTTTGTCATTTTTTAAACGAGGAACCCAACCCAGACTCAACTCGTTTCTGGGAATTAGATACTGTAGCAGCAAAGCACTCCTTATCCCCCGAAGAGCGCGCCTGTGAGCAAAGCTTTCTCTTAAAAACTTTTCGTAAAGACGGTGGTCGCTTTGTTGTCACTATGCCACTGAAAGAAGATTCTTCAGTCTTAGGCGATTCATTTCAACTGGCCAAATGTCGCTTCTTATCCTTAGAGCGTAAATTTAATAAATATCCGGTTTTTAACGATATGTACAAAAATAGAAATGTTCCCAGATGAGTATGCCATTCTTAAAACGCATAAATCCTTACCTAGCAAAAACCGCCTTCTTTCTTTGTCGCCATTCCTAGACCACAACAGTATCATTCAAGTTGGTGGTAAGCTCAATAATTCCCCTTACAGTTATGATGTAAAACATCCCATTTTACTTTGCAGTAAACACCATTTTACTGTTATTCTTTTCGAATATTTCCACAAAAAGTACTTTCATGCAGGCCCCCAACTTTTACTTGCAAATGTTAGACAAAATTATTGGCTTTTGGGTGGCCGCAACTTATCTAAAAAATGTGTAAATAAATGTGTTCGGTGTTGTAGGTACAAGGCAAAAACAATCCAGCCTATGATGGGACAATTACCATCATCTCGCAACGAATTAGAATTTCCCTTCTTACATTGTAGTGTCGACTACGCTGGACCAGTGCTGATAGCCGATAGGAAAGGGAGAGATTGCAAACTAATAAAGTCATTTTTAGCAATTTTCGTTTGCAACTCGACCAAAGCCATGCATCTCGAGCTCGTTACGGCTCTATCTAGTGAAGCGTACTTAGCCGCTTTAAATCGTTTTATGTCACGGCGTGGCAAGCCTCAAAGTATCACATCCGATAATGGAACCAATTTTGTAGGGACTTATAATGAACCTTTAAAATTTTTAGTATACTCTATCTTGAGGGTTTAGTTGCTCAGGAGGGCATTGAATTCAAATTTGTTCCAGCGTACACTCCCCACTTTATGGTGAAATGAAACTGAACCGAAACTATTTCAGTTTCTGCTGCAACTGGTTGACATATTCTAATGCGAAGCGGTGCCAGAAATGCTACTTAATATGTTCGACTCTTTTGAATCGATCGAGGCGAGTGATGTTGTCGTCGATGACTTGTGGATGTGGTATGGATACCAGTGGTCGTCCAATTAAAAACGTAGTATCGTATAAGAGGCGTTCATGAGAACCCAACGAGGAATTTTTAGTTTATTTAAAAAGAGCAGTGTATTTGCAAAAGTTAACCACAATTGTTTTATTTCTTGAGAAACTTCTTGATCCCATGTGATTTGTTCAATCCACAATCTTTGCATAATTATTTTAGCTTCGACGATGCATGGACCTACTAGACCCAATGGGTCAAATATTTGACTAATAACAGAAAGTATGTGTCGTTTAGTTATTTTATCATTTGCTTTAATATTTATGGAAAACGTTAATAAATCAGAATCACATATCCAATTAAGACCAAGAGTTTTATTAGGAGAATATAAATCAATATCTCATAAATTCAACACATTATTTGAATTAGAGGAAGATGGGGAAATTTGGTCAATTATTGATTATTAGATTTAAATTTTCTGAGATGAAATTTTGCACTTTCTAACGTAGCTGTGACTCCTTTGCAAATTCTTGCCGTGCTTTCTATTGAGAACGAGCCTCCTAAATAATCATCGACGTAGAAGTCTCTTTGAATGGCTTTTTTGACGTCGTCATCATTTGCACTTGATGCGAGACTTATCAAGCACCTGGTTGCCAAATAAGGGGCACATGCTGTCCCGTAACTAACCGTGTTAAGAGTGTAGGTTTTTAACGGTTGTTTAGCATCGGTGCGAAAAATTATTTATTGTTACGACATGCTTATGCTGACGAAAACGTATTAATATAGAAAAAAGATCGTCTTGTACAGTTGGGCCAACCATCAATATGTTATTAAGAGATAAGCCGGAAGTGGTGGTGGCCGAAGCATCAAAGCCTGTACGTAGTTTTGTGGTCGTGCTGGACTCACGTAAGACGCCATGATGTGGCAAAAAATAATTAGGCTGTTGAAGACAACTAGCTAAAGTCTCCTTATTTTCGGTCATGTGACCCAAGTGCTGATATTCGAGCATGAAATCGATATACATATCCTTAAAAACCAGATATTTATTAAATTTACGCTCTAAGGATAAGAAGCGACATTTGGCCTGTTGAAATGAATCGCCTAAGACTGAAGGATCTTCTTTCAGTGTCATAGTGACAACAAAGCGACCACCGTCTTTACGAAAAGTATTTAAGAGAAAGCTTTGCTCACAGGCACGCTCTTCGGGGGATAAGGAGTGCTTTGCTGCTACAGTATCTAATTCCCAGAAACGAGTTAAGTCTGGGTTGGGTTTCTCGTTTAAAAAATGACAAACGGAAGAATAAGAAGAGTGCTTAAGGCGACCAACATGGCCAAACACTAACCAACCCAGTTTCGTTTCATTTAACTTGGGTTGATTTTTACCCAAGTTAATATGATTTTGGTCTAAAATTTACCAAAAAACTTCTGCCCCTACTAATAAGTCTATACCTGAAGGTATATAAAAGTTGGGATCAGCAAGATGTATTCCTTTAGGAAGAGGAATATTTTCTATGTTGATAAAGGTAGACGGTAGACATTTTGTAATCTCAGGCATTATAAGACAATCTACAGTTAGTTTAAAGTCATCATGAATAGACATTATGGTAAGACTGCAAGACTGTGTACATTGAGAAGTATGTTGATTAATAACTGTCACCGTGGAGTACGCATCGCGATGCGACACAACCAGCTTACCACACAAGGATTGCGTCACTATGTTCGCGGTGCAGCATTGTCGAGGAGAAGGCGCGCGGAGTGCGCGGCACCCTGACCGTCGAGCACCCTCACGACGGCTGTGGACAGTAACACATTCGAAGGAGTAATAAACTGTCTAGATGAACTGTCTGATATTGGAATGATTTGAGAAGTGGTTGATGCTATTGACTGGCATTGGAGGCACAGAAGTAAGTTCTGGTTCATGAATATGCAAAAGTGTATTATGTCTCTCTTTACAGTACCTACAAGGGACAAGACTACATTAAGTGTCAATATGTCCAGGTCGAAGACAATTAAGGCATACTTTTGTTTCTTTGGCTTTTTGAATTCTATTATCTTCAATAGAAAGTGACCTGAATTTTTCGCAATTAAATAAATAATGACTTTCTTGGCAAAGTATACATTTGAAGGACTTGGAATTGTAAGTATTACGTATAGATCGTGGATTTTTATTATTGTAAAAATTTTGTTTATAATTATTATTGTAAGTGCTATTTTTATTATTATTTGGTGTGTCTATAAGAAAATTTGAAATTTTCTTAACGTGTTTCTTCAAAACACAAAGAGTTGTGTTTTGCTTTTTTCTTGTATAGTCTCCAATAAGTCTGCTCTGTTACTTATAAATTTAATAAATATATTTAATGAAGGAGGATCCGTTAAAGTATTTCAGTGTTCTTTCCAGACCCTTTGTGTAACACAATCTAATTTTTCCGACATCATATGTATAACTAATGTGTCCCAATATTCAGTAGGTTGATCTAAAGAAGCTAATGCCCGTAAGTTTTTATTGGTAACATCTATAAGATTACGTATCAATATAAACGATTCTGTTTGCATTCGTTCAACATTAAATAAAGCTTGAACGTGATTGTTAACAAGTAGTCTTTTATTATCGTATCTGCTGCATAACAATTTCCAAGCAGCTTCGTAATTATCGGCCATAAAATCTAAATTATCAATGACTAGATCAGAGCGCTGCCTTTAAGAGACGCGTGAAGCTAATGCAACTTATTTATGTCATCCATATCCTGTCTTGAATGGATTAACGAATCAAAAGTGTCTCTAAACCTAAGCCAATGCTGATAGTGACCGTGGAAAACGGGCAAGTCAATTTTAGGCAAACGAACACAACTGAATTTAGGTGCACTCGCCTGTACATCCTGATAACTCGAGACGGAACTACCCGGAAGGTCGCGCTGGTTGTGACGTGGGCCGAGTAGACCGCGAGCCGCCGCAACCAGCGTGTGGAATTGCTCTTCGAATTGTTCACGTTCTTGGAGTTCATCGGCAGGATTCTCCGAAAGCATCTCAATCTCCATGTGTAAATCGACAAAAAGAGGGTAGATTGCTTCAAACTTGTTAAAGCGGCTTTCCAGATCTAAATATTGATCTCGACTTAGGTCAGAAGATCGTTTAAGCAAACCATCATCTCGCACCGAATTATTAATTAATTTTTAAAAATGGTTAATTTTGATTTTAGTCTGCTATGCTTTTTTATAAGTTTTTCTCGTTCCTTTGTATCGGCCATCTGATGTTTAATATAAGAAAATCTAAAGATAAAATGTGCAAAAACAAATACTACTGTTAAAATCGATAAAAAAAATAGCAAGAATCAAGACATAAGAATGAGCCGAGTGCCTAGCGATAACGAACAAAAGAACAGGTGTGCGGCTGCCGGCCGAGTTTTTATACTTATATGATTTGATAATGTTTATTAGCTACGTTATAATTAATATTGATCGAATATTTATTATTATTTTATAAATGTAAGAAACGAAAGAAGAAATATGATGCACTCACTAAATTGGACTATTTGAAATTTAATAGCAATATCAAAGGAATAATAAGGAATGTAAATAAGGAATAATTGGAACGGACTCACAAATACCCAAACCGTCTCCTTTTCTTCGGGAAACGTAGTCCTTTCGCTTCGAAACTTCGACGGGTCCAAAGTTCAGCCTGCGTACCGTCTTCTTAATTGCAAAATTTTCTTGAGCTTGCGTGGTTGCGTTGCGTCGATGCTTCGTAAGGATAAGACCGTAGATAGGCTCCTGAAGAAATCTCGCTGCTAAAGACCACGCTGAAGAGCTTATTGAAAATTTTCGTACGTCGACCGTCTAATTTTCAGTCTTGCAACCGAGAAGGACCAATGATAAGGCTCCTATGGGGACTTCAAATAACGTTGACTGTAATTCTAGGTAAACTGGTATATATATTACAAAACAGATTATTTAACGTTCACGTGGTGTTAAATTATGAACGCGGTTGGGCCCGTGCGATGCTGTGCGAGGCGCGTAAAACAAGTGACTCGCGGTGGCCGCGGCCGCTCGTCCCCTTGGTCGTGGTTCCTCCTCCCGCACCTCTCCTCCCGTGCGTAAGACTGGTCGGCAACACGGGCGAATGCACTGATCAATTATGCTACCGTGGCCTTGACGGCCGTATCCAATTCTTTCTAGCCTTTCTTAAGCTGCATGGCAGCGCCATCTCTTCACATTATAAGTAACCCACAATGTCAAATTAATATCTTTACAAGTATTAAACGTTTGAAAGAAGAAATAGCAATTAAAGTTATAATTTTAATTTTTTAAGCATGTTGCTGCTCTACTGCTCAATGTTTGAATCTAAAGAAAATATAAAAAAAAACTTTTTTTTATAGTATTATTTTCTTTACATTTAAACATCGAGCAGTTACATACTTAAATATTAAAAAAAATATATAAATAATGTTGGTTTTTTATCCCACTTGTGGGGCCGGTCTTTGTATACTTCGATCACTCGTGTCCAAACTTCGTGCTCATTATAATCAGCCGCCTTCTTCATCGGAATACGTGCGCTCCGTGTGACAGCTACCAACCGACTGATTGAGAAATTGCCCCGATCGCGCGACACACGCGGCAACATGCAGGGCGGCAGGGACAATCTAGGAACCATGGGTGGTCTCGCGCTCCTGCCGCCCTACCGCAGGCCCGATTTATAAAATTGCCCCAACTTGCCTACACACATCACAATATGGTATTTGACAGTATTAAAAATAAAGTGCCAATTGTTAGCATCTGTGTTTATGAAATAAAGTGTTTATAATCAATATTGGCAGGGGTTTTTTGTATTTATTTTTACAACCAAAATATTCATAATTTTACTAAAAACCTACGAAAAAGATAATAGTTTTCTTATCTATTGTCACGTGACCCAAAACGATTGGGATTGGTGGAGCCTAAAGTGATGTCACACACAAGTAAACTTCCTGTTAAAGTGACATTACATTGTATCGTTTGACGTTTTAGTAACAGTCGTGTGACGTCACACATTAGTAAGACGCCATATTGTCCAGAGAAACTTTTTCGCGGCAACTTAAAAATGGAGTTTTTGATTTGGTTATTTCTACTGAAATACACAACAGAATGATGAATATCCACTTTTTACGGACTCCATAAAAATAAGTAGTCAATAATGTGAGAACATTTTGTAAAACTTGTCAAATACCCTATTCAGGAGCCAATTAAGGGTCATCCCCACTCTTACACCCTAGATTGTCCCTGCGGCAGGCATGTCAGTAGGCGCTTTTACTTACTTCCGGATGTACCTCAGAACAAGAACTAATGTTCTGAGTAATTTACCAAAGTAAAGTTTTGTTTTCTGTCATCGCGTCGTTTACCGTCTTGCGTGTATCATTATTAGTTATTATTCGGGGTGTATCATTATAACACAATAGGCTTCTATCATTTTCACACCACTAATGCAGAGGTTACCTGTGACGCAGCAATCTTAATATCAGCATTCCAATCTTTTTAAATCATCTGGATACGGTAGGTGATCTCTTGTTTACTGCTCTTACTGGACGCACTGCAAAAGCGCTATTAAATCCACATTTATAAAGACACAACAATATTAAAATTATCCTATAGATTTTGTGAATATGTAATTAGTAAAAGTGGAACATGTTCCAAAAATGTTTAGGTATTTCACACCTACAAACCTGAGGCTACCTTTTGTGCCCAAAATATAAGTGTTGAAGTATAAGAAGAAAATTAGTGAGGTGTTTCAATTATGATTGTTGTAGGCGAAGTCGCGATCACCCACCAGAACCCAATAAAATGAAACTATAATATGTAATCTTTAGTAGATGTATGTTGTTTAATATTTTTTATTGATTTTGTTGCAGAAGAAACATCTTCACTTCAATTTTCATATTTATCATAATAATGTAGAATTAATGTTAAATTGGACTATGGTGCAAAAACATTCTAAAAATGATTCAAGGATTTAAAATGTAACTTGCTTTTTTACTGTGGTGCATAAATATTTCAAGCTATTTTTACTGTGGTACGTAAATATTACGTTTTATTGCTTCACAAATAATATAATTAAAGAGTACTTTTTTTAGTCGAAAGGAGATTCCGCTTTCTCAATGAAATTCTATTCTGCGAAATAACATTTCTGTTTGTCATTATACAATGTCAATAGAGCTTAAGCTTCTGTCTCGTGTCATTGTTTTTTTTATAATTTAGCACTTTGCCTAATTTTGCTATTGCTAGGTATTTTTGAATATGGTGCACTTACCTCATTTCTGATGAGATCCTTCAAAGAAACGTACATAAATATCTTTAAATGAATTATTGATTTAGTCCAGTAATTTGTACAGCAAATTTATTTTTATTTCTTGTATTTTGTAGGTGCGAAGTGCTTATCACTGGTTATAGGAAATCGTTTAATATTTTAATAATCATCATCGTGCATTCAACCAGATTGAGATGTCAACTTAGACAAAACACGCTTTGTCCAATTTCACAACTGCGTTGCTGCGTTTATCTACTTAACTTTATAATTTACAGCAGCTTTTGGTTTATTATAAATTAAACATTATAATTGTCGTTACCTACTTTGGAAAAAACAATGATTGTGTTGTATAAAATTACGCCATATTTAAATATTGGGAGTGAACATACACGCTATACTACGAGCATAAATGCTGAATTTCCTTGAAAATAGATTTCACAGCGGGATAATGTACGGTTGATGTTTTAATAATAGGTACTAGAGGAAAGTGTTGTTGATATATACACTTGCTATATATACACACCTAGGGTTGCCACCCGTACTTTATTACAAAGTATTGTACGTTATTTCGGGTAATTGTACTCTATACTTTATGCTAACAACAAAGTACGTGAAAATACTTTATTTAATGTGATTTGATTACTTGGGGATTAATTTTACATAAATATACAAAAAGAGGATAGGAAGAATTTTTGCGTAAAACTGAACAACAGTAAGTATAATATGTAGCCCTTAGCTCATTCCTGCAACATTTTCGCGTAAGTTGATAAATAATGCTATGCAATAGCTTTACCGCGGCAGTTCCCGAGTGCCACACGTATTTTTTTATTTATGTCGTTTCTGACGATGCAGCCTAAAAAGGATGCGAAACGGCATAAATTAATACATCAGTGCATCTATAATATTTCCGCCTAAAAGTAACATAGTAAGTACCTATATAGTTATCATACTTTCGGGATCACTTACATTAAAATGATTAACGGGAATGCTGCCATTTAGGTGCCCTGGGGGCACCTTACGATTTCACTTTGTTATTTCTGACCGCCGAAGGTTTTAAATACCTCACGCTCATTTTCTTTTATATTGTTATTAACAAAGCAAAAGAAAAAATACGCGAGGTATTTGAAAACCTCAGGTGACTAGAAATAATAAAATGAAATCGTAAGCGATAGTGTTTTCCAAAGCAATCCCGTTAGGCGAATGGCCCCCTGTTCTTTTGCGAGTGGATTCCATCTACTGACCGCTATCATAACTCATCCTCGCATTACTACCCTAAACTTTTAAACTCTTTATGTATGTAGAGAAACATCTGTATGAGGATTTAAAACATGTATGGCACGCTTGTTTCACTGGGATTATAAATGTCCCCAATGGGACAACTAGTAGTGCTGAAGGTCCCCAAGGCACTACTAGTAATGTCACGCAGTTGTTCTACGGGTATGAAACAAATAAATTTACCAATAAAAAACGCTGTTTTAGTTACTAACTGAATATTAAATGTTGGTCCGAAGGTACTATGTTTATAATTATCCCAGAATACCCGATAAACTCGTCATGTAGTAAGTACTACTGAGCATAGCTTATTAATAGATAAATCTTATATAGCAAACATTTTAGAAAACAAGCAAACATTTTGGGCCGGCATTTCAAGAAGCAGATATTTTAGGAAGCAGACATTGTAGGAAGAAACATTTTAGGAAATTTAAACTCATGTTGTGAAAATCATCCATTATCCCTGTTTACAAAATATGTCCCTAAATTTTGAAAATTCTTCTTCGTATATTAGGTAGATTATCAACAAGTATTGGAAATGTTTTTTTCTCATAATAAAAAAATACGTAGATATATTGATTTAAAATGTTACGTCTTGGTACAATTTTTACTTAGAAGTGACGTCACGCGCCCCCACTTCCAAACTTCGACACGCTTACGATCTTTGTATTTTTTTTAGTGTTTTAGTTGATTGATAAAAGAATAAGTCAGTGTGCAATATTTTTAAAAATCTAACGGACGGACTAAATATTATTTCGCTTAATTTGCCCCTTCATCATGCCTATAGCACATTTTAGGAAACAATATTAACCCATGAGCGATCAGCCATCGCAGAATATTTGACTGACGACCTCCATGGCTGAGTGGTTTGTACGCCGGGTTTCAAAATGTCGCCTACTCGAGAGGTCGGTGGGGGTAGATGCCTGTGTGATGAATAGGACTCCAGTCATGGATGTTTAATATGAATTTATATATAAATATACTCAAATATGTATCAGTATTATGTAATATATCCGTTACCCTAGTATCCCATAAAACAAGTCTACAGTGCTTACTTTGGGGCTAGGCTAAGTGGTGTGTGTGTTAGAAATATTTATTTATGTATTTATAAGTCAGCGATATGAAAATGGGTTTAAATTAATCTTTAATTTAAACCCCTGTCAGAACATCAGCGCTGATGCGACCATTGTCGCACCAGCTCATGCTGAGACAGGATACTGGTTAACCCCTTTTATCATTGCTATTTTTTATTCCTTCTTTTTCACGATTTACTGTGTGTAAGTAATGGGGATATATTTTTTTCTTTCTTTATTTATTTATAACAACATTTCGGTTTGTTGTCAGATACAGTGAGTGTTGTATAATGTTAACACGATGTGAGAACCGTTAGGTAGTGACATTGTGAACAATGGCATGAGTGTACGGAAATACAACAAAAGACTTCGACAGACGATAGACAGACA